TAAATATGAAAATATGAATATATATAAATATATATATATATATATTATTTTATATTTTTATATTTCAAATTAATATAAAATTTAAATGTAAATAACTTTGTTTTTATTATTTATAATTAATATTATATAAAAGTTAAAAATATGTCAAATTATGTAAATATTTATAATCAATATTTTTTTTTTTTTATATATAATATAGTATATTAGTTAAAGTTGTGATTCTTTCAATATAAATGACAAGTAAAAATTATATTATTATATAATATGTCATTTATATATATTTTTTTATTAATAGTATTTTAGATGAAAATATTATAAACAAGTAATTTTTAAAAGAAATTTAAAATAATAATATTATGAAAAAGTTAAAATTATGATAATATGAATTAAAATAATAGATTGTAAGACATGTAACCATAAAGTGAAACATTTTTAGTAAAATAAAAATATATATAAAAAAAATATGAATTAATATTATTAATAAAAGTTGAAAAATTAAATAATATAAATAAATAAAAAAATGAAAGATTAGGAAGAAAATAATAAGTTAATTTAAAAAATAAAAACATAAAAAAATTAATATATATATAAATATATATTTTTATTATATATATATATATATATATTTATTTATATTTATTTTTATCTATTTATTTTTATTTATTATTTACTATACTTCTATTTATTAAATATTTAAGATAATAATTAATACATTTGGAAACTATTGGAATGATGACAAAATATTAATTAGTTTTTATAAAATTGGAAACTTTATTAACAAAGCTTTCAAATTTAATAAAAACAAGGTTTTTTTATTTATATTTATATTTAAAAAATATTAAAAATAGATAATAAATATATAAAATAAGTGCATTTAAATAAATAAAAATTTTATATAAGTCTGAAAATGAAACAAATATTTTATAAAGCAAAATTTTATTTTATTTAATGCATAATAAATTAAAAAAAATGTCTGATATAATAAAAAAACCAATAAATAAAATTCTTATAGAGGGTTTAGTATAAATAATGATAAATTCAAAGATAACGCATCATAAATAAAGACTAAAAATAGAGCATGAGAAGATAAATACGGAGTTTTGCAGTATTTTATAATAAAAAGTTAAAGAAATTTAATAGTTATAATAATAGAAAGAATAATAAAATTTAACAATTAACATATATAAATCAAAAGAAACTGAAAACATATAAATTATAAAATAAAAAGATTTATAAATATAATAAATTGAATAAGAAATTTAAAAAAAACAAACCTAAAGAATATATAATTAAAATATTAATAGTTAAGTAAAATATTTAGATAAAAGAGTAAAAATTTAAATAAATAAATATATATATATATATATATATATATATATATATATAATTTTTAAATTTTAGTTTAAAGATATAGAAAATGAGAATTTTTTATTAAAATAAAAAACATTATAAAATGAAAGTAATATAAATTATTTTATTAAAGAATATAATGAATTACTTGATTAACATGATATAAGTACTAATATAGGATCTGATGATAATTTTTCATTAAATAATAGTAATAATTTATGTAATTTAATTAATAATAATTTTGTTTGTAATGATGGTTTAAATGCTGTATTTTCAGGTTTTAATAAAAAAAAGAAAGGATAAAATGTTATAGAGTAAAGAAATTAATTTAATCTAAATAAAAATAATTAATATAATGTTATTTAAAATAATTATTGATTATTTATGTTTTTAAATATTAAATATTTAAATTAATGAAGTATATTTAGTTTATTTTAAATATTTATTGATTATTATTATTTTTATGAAAAAAAAAAAAATATAATATATATTATTTAAATATTAAATATAATAATTTCTTATATTTTTTTAAACACGTTTTTTAAAATTTTTTATATAAAAAAATAAAATAATTAAATTTAAATTTTATATGCAAAAAAAACAAAAAAAAGATACAAATATAATAAAAAAAATGAATAAAATATTAATTATAACACTAATTTTCATAAAAATTATTATAAAATGCGAAACTTAAAAAAATATTGATTAATTCTAATAAAAATTCGATTCTTAAATATTAGATATGTAATGGTGTGGTTCAAACTATATTTATGATTCCGAAAATGATTTAATTAAAATACAGGAAAACGAAATCTAAAAAGAATAATAAGAATAAGAATAAGAATAAGAATAAGAAGGCTATGATACGAGAATATTCGCATTATTAGAAGATGGTAGTTTATATAGATCATCTTCATACGGAAAATAATGGAAAAAATATAATTAAATATTAGAAAAAGATGTAATATATATTCATTTAATAATTTTTTGTTAATATTGTAAATAAATTTAGTTTAAAATTAAATAATTAATGATCTCTCCAGTAGATGGTCAAACTGCTTTTTTATGGGGAGAAGATAATTTAAGTTATATTTTATATAATTGTGGAATGAAATACGAAAAGATTTAGCATTAAGTAAATCTTAATAATTTTAAATTGCATAGATCTAATAAAGTAATAAATAAATATAAATATAAATATAAATATATATATATATATTTATATATATATATTTATATACACATATATATTTTATAATATATTTAGAAATATATTCTTGCTCATTAAGCTCATTAAAAATAAGGCAAATTTGATTTTTAATAATAAATTTATGATCTTTATTTTTCATAAAATAGTGGATAAAATTTTACTTTAATAAGAAAAAATGTTATTTAAGCTTAATGGTTTTTTTATATATAATTTATTTATATTTATATATTTAAAGGAATAGATTACTATATTAATTTGGAAATTCAAATTTTGGTATATTTTCAACAGTTTATGATGGTATTTTAATAAATATATAAATTATATTTTTATAATAATAATTAAAAATAATAAAAATTATATATTATATATAAATTAATAAATTTGAAATTATTTTTATTTTAAATATTTAATAAAAAATAGAAAATACAAATAGTCCTAATATTGTCTACAGTGAAGATTTTTTCTAAAGTGAATAAATTATATAAAAAGGAGCTGATAACTATCATTAAGCAGATTTTTATTTATTTTTAACAGTTATTCCATCACAAGAAAATAAAAATTATGAACTTAGAATAGCTAATTCATTTTCTGATTTAAATGGAAATAATAATGTAAAACCACATCCCATAATAATACCATTTGATAATAAGGATAATTTATCATTTACAATTGTAAAAAGTACAGAGACATAAATTTTTATATCTATACATTAAGAAATGGAAGATTTCCGTTCGACAAATGTCTATGTTTCAGATTGGAGAGGTTATTAACTTTCCTTATCATTATTATATAATGTAAGAAATGAAGAAGGAGATTGCGATTTTGAAAAAGTATTAATAAAATATATATATATATATATATATATATATTTATATATTTATATTTTATATATTTATATATTTTTATATTTATTTATATTTATTAATATAGATAAATAGTAATTAAGGAGTTTATATAGCAAATGTATATGATCATTCTAAAGTAGAATAAAATAAAAACTTAAATAAAAAAAAATTAGACACTCATAAAATCAAAGAATCTCATATATAAAAAAATTCTAATATTTAACTTTAAAATTTCCGAAAAACTTTGATTTCTTATGATTAAGGCGCAAATTGGCATCCTTTAAAAGCTCCTTAAAAAGTAATATATATATATAAATTTTCTTATATATTATTTTGTAAAAAATAAAATAAGAATTTAAACGGAGAAACAATTACTTGTAGTGGAGATTGTGGATTATAATTAGTAGGTAGAACTGATTTTTAATACGGTTTTATATATTCTACAGAAAATGCTCCTGGAATAATAATATCTATGGGAAATATAGGATAATATTTAAATACTAATATGAAAGATTTAAATGTATATTTATCATATGACGGAGGACATGAATGGAACGAAGTATTAAATAAATATAAATATATATAATAATTTTAATATATTATTAGGTTTTATAAGGTCCTCATATTTTTGAAATTGGAGATCATGGAGGCATTATTTTAGCTTCTAAAATTGGAGATTAGACTAATTTAATTAAGTATTCTTGGGATGAAGGGAAGACTTGGGATTCTATAAAGATTGATAATTTTTTTTATGTAGAATAGATTTTAACTGAACCTTCTAATATGGAATAAAAATTTATTATTTAAGGCTATAAAATGACTATAGAAGGTAAAAGAGAGCAGTTTTTAGTCAGTTTAGATTTTGAAAAACTACATTAAAGAGGTTGTAAAGGTGCCGAACATCCCGGAAGACCCGATAGTGATTATGAAATGTGGATACCGAAGAATTTTAAAGGAGATTAGTGCATATTTGGATAAAAAGTAAAGTATATTAGAAGAAAACCAACGGCTAACTGCTATAATTCAATCACTAGTACACAAAAAGTAGTATTAGAAGTATGCCCTTGTACAGAAGAAGACTATGAGTGTGATTATGGATTCTATAGGGAGAATAATTAGGGAGATTGTATGCCTTTAAATGAGAAATTTTCAAGATAGAATTTATTAAAACCCCCTGAGGATTGTTAATTTTCATATTATGTTTCGAAAGGATATTAGAGAGTAGTAGATACATAGTGTTATGGAGGAATTGATTTAAATGGAGAGTATTTAGAATGCCCAGTGTAAATTTAAGAGGCAAGATTGGAAAATAAATAAGATGAAATTTATAATAATATTAAGAAGAAATTATAGGAGGAAATAAATAAAAAATATTATGAAAAATAAACGGAAAATTATAAAAAAGAATCGGTTTTTAGTTTAAAAAATTTGGTGTTTATTTTGTAGATTTTAGGATTTTTTTTGGTTATCTTTTTTTTTAAAAATTAACTTTTTAAAATATTTGGTATTAAATTATTCTAGACTTAAAATAATAATAATGGATATATGTAAATGCCTTAAAAAGGGAAAAATTCGAATAAAAATAATACTTATTAGAGCAATTATTAAGATTTTGATGATATCGTGGATAGAAAATATGATGAAGAAAAACCAGTTTTATAAAAAGATTAAGAATTTGATGATTATGACTGATTTTGAAAAATATATTTTTTATTATATGTTTCCTTTAAATATTAATTAAATTATTTCATATTTTTTCTTCTTCTTTTCCATATTTATCTTCGTTATGTTTATTTTCTAATAAAAATAAATCCTAAAAAAAAATAATAATATATATATATATATTTATATGTATAAATATGTATAATTATATATTATTTTTTTATTTACTTTTTTTTTTTTAATTATTGAATTTCTTAAAATTTATTTATTTTTTGTTATTATGTTTTCAATTATTATTTATTATTTTAATTGTCATTTTATTCATAAATATTTTCTTTTTATTATATATTGTCTTTGATTTTATATACACTTTTTTAATTTAATATAAATAATTCATCAAGACCTTTCTTTTTTTAAATAAATATTTAAGAAATTAAAATAGATATATACTATTCTAAATATCGTAAACTTAAAAAGAAGAATACTATCCTTATATAAAATCTTAATTAAATAATTTTCTCATAATCTTTCTATTTCTACTCTAATCTAATTAAAATACTTACAAATCTGCATTAGAAAACCCATTTTCTTCATATCCTCCGAAAACCAAGATTTAAGAATCAACTACACACAAAGAAAATGAACATCTTTTTTAAATTTAAAGCCCATTCATTTATATTTTTATCCACTGTAAATTTTCTAAATTTAACACATTAAAATCTCCCATAATTCCTTCTCTAATGATTTTATCATTTCTTCCTCCATAAACAACCAGTATATTTAAATCTTATAAAAAACTCTAGCCATGCTAAAATCTTCCTATAGGAGGAATTCCATTAGTTTCTGGGAAAGTCCAAAAAAGGGGTTTCTGTCCAATTTTTAAAATTCTCAATTAATCACTTGCTTCGGAATTTTCAAAAAGCCCTCCGAAAATATAAATGCCTTCTTCTTTTATTCTTCTTTAATAATTATTAGACTTCTTTTTTTTAACATCCAATTAACAATAAGGGCTTTCCATTATAGTTTCTTCCCTAAAAACTGGGCTCATTTAATGAAAAGATAATTTAAATTCATTCCCTTCTATTTAAACAATATTGCTTATGGAGTTTTCTAAGTTAACAGTAATTAAATCACATATAGTTTTATTACAGTTATTTATCCCGCCATGTATAAATAAGAATTTTCCGACTATACACGAAGAATGGTTTCTTCGGCTTTATATTATGTCACCATATATCCTTAATTAATTCCAAGAATAATTATCTAAATCTAATATTTGAATATCTCCTAAGCATTCTCTTTGTTTTAAATGAGAATTATATTTCCTTTCTCCTCCAAATATTACTATACTTTTCTTATATCTATAAAAAATAAAAATATATATATATATATATATATATATATATATATATATATATATATATATGTTTATTATGTTTTTAAAAAATACTAATTCGCTGTATGTCCATATCTTCCTTCAGATAATAAAGGAATATTTTTTAAAATTTACCATTTTAAAGTATCTAAATCTAAACAACATATTTAATTAAATATTTAATATCCCATTCCCCCATATAAATAGAGTTTATTATCTACTAAAGTTAAAGTGCCGAATTCTCTAGCTTAAGGACGCCAGGAATAGTCAGTTATTTTAAAACAATAGACCTATAATGTATTAATTACTATTTCTCTGGAAACTGCATTCTCTCTATTTTAATTTTGGTTTGAATTTTATTGTTTTATAAAATTTATCCTAACAATTCTTTTTATTTTATATGAGGCAAGTACATTTTTTTTTATTGTTATTTATAATTTATTTACATTTAATCAAAATAATCTTAGAGTTACTAAGCTATTTTTTTTTTTTAGAGATTCTGGCGTTTTTTACTATTATTTAATTGAGTTGATAATATTTCACGTTGTGTTAAGTTGCTTGAATATTCAGTTTAATTTTATGTAGTTGATTAAGGAGAAATATTAGAAATTTCCTTTTTATTTAGATGAAGTATTTTATTCTATTTACAGTATTATTTATTTGGAGGTTTTATTATAAATAAATTTGGATTTTCTATTGTTATAGAACGCTTTTATTATGAAGATATTGTAAGATTTGTATTATATATTAGTGAAAAATTCATATATTTTTTATTTATTAATTGTTATAAAAATGTATATAATACAATGATAATAGATATTATAAAAGATTATAATAAATACTAAATTGAACAAATATATATTCTTTATATATATATTAATTTCAATTTATTTAGTTTATAAGCTGTATAAAAATATATATAAAATTTTATTAATAATATATTATAATATTAATAAAATTAAATTATTTATTTTAATTATATAGTTAAAACTATTTAAAAAGATACATATTATATATATATAATATATATATATATATTTACAAAATCATATAAATTAATTTTAATACAAATGATTAATACTTTAAAATTAGGATAATATAATATTCCTTAATAATTTATATTATGGTAAAAAAGTTATACATGTGCTATAATACCTTGTGTATAATTAATGCCAGGTCGTAATCTAAAAAAAAAAAAAGCAATAAAAATTTTTCTAGATAAAAATAAATTAAAAAGATATATTATTATTACCGAAAAGATATGTATCAAATTTTTGTGAATTAGAGGCTGGAGAAGTAATAAATATAATTAATTTAAAAATATAAATTAAAAAGATATATGATATTGGATTAATGACTAAATTTTTAACAAAAGGATTAGAAAAATATTTTATGACTGATTCGTCTACTATATATATACATGTAAGTTTTATTTTTTATGATAAATAATTTTAAATAATAATTAGAATCATTAACCAGAAAATCCGGATTCTATAGATTAAATTTATGTGCATATAATACCAAGAAGAAAAGGAGATTATTAAAAAAATGATGATATATATTTTGTACTGGAAAATTATGATAAAGAGTATAAATATATAGAATAGACTAAATTTTTATTTATATATTTTATTTTTAAATATAAAAAAAAGATTTGCCAAATAATATTAAAATACAATATCTTCTACTAATTCGTTTAGTAATGCTGCTATAGAAATATAGGGATAAGAAACTAAGAAATATAAAACTTTTTTAGATTAATTTTGGTAGGAAGAATATAATTAATAATGAAATTAAAAAAATATAAAGTTTTTTTTTTTTAATTTATTTTAAATTTACTTTAAATATAAGAAAATAAAAGAAAAAAATAATAATAATATTTATAAAATATACAATAGTTATTTAATTTTTAGAATAAAAATAAAAAATAATATATATAAAAATAATTAATCAAACTATTTTGGATTATAAAATTTGCTTTATTTTTATAAAATAAAATTAATAAATGAAAAATATAAATTATATTTAATAAATATATATAATTTATATATAAATATATATATATATATATATATATATATATATATTTATATATATATATATATATAATTATAAATATACCTTTAAAATTTAGGAATTTGATAAATTTTATACTAAATCTTTATAAGAAATACTTTAATTTTAAACATTATTTTCGCAATTTTCATTTCTATAATAAAGTTCTTAGAGAGTGTTTAAAGAATAATTCTTATTTTCGAATTTTTTATATTAATATTTTCTTATAAATTCTTTTTTTTCTTTAAACTATAGGCTCGTTAAATTCAAAATGCATTTTTTATAAATAATCAATATTATAGTCTTTTTATATTTTTATTTAAAAAAAAAAAAAATATTTACTTAAATTATCTTAAACTAATAATTATGAGATTCTATTTTCATTTAAAATATTAAAATTATTAATTAAAGTTCTATTTAAATTTGAATATATATATATATATATAAATAAAAATATATATATATATATATAATATATATTATATATATATATATATATATATATATTTATTTTTATATATATAATCATTATTATTATTATTTTTAATAAAAAATACTCTTTAGAGGGTTGTGTAGGAGATAATTATTAAATAGACTTTTATTAGATTTTATGAGGAAGATATTCTACAAATACCTTAGGTTTAAAAGGGTATTATTATATATATTATTATTTTTTTATAGACTATTATAAAATACTACTTTCGAATATTTAATTATCTTTATAATCGATATAGTTTAAATTATTAATATTTTAATTAAAAAGTTTATTAGTAGTGTTTTTTTTTTTTAAGAAGATTAAGTATTTTTTTTATTTTATGAAGATTAAGTATTTTTTTTATTTCCATTTAGTTATTAGTCAGTATATTTATTTTAAACTTTATTTTTATTTTTCTAAAATTAAAAATCATAATCATTTATATAAAAAAGTGTATTTTTTATTTTTTTATTGTCTTTTAAATTTTCAGGTTTTTTTTTGGTTTTTCTTGTGTATTTTTTTTATCGTCTTTTTGATTTTCGACATTTTTTTTATCGTGTTTTTAATTTTCTTCGACTTTCTTATTTTTTTGGGATTCTAAGGCTTTTTTTGGATCATATTTCATTCTTTTTTAAAGATTTAATAATAAATCTTTATTTTTAATACATTTTTTTTAAATGTTTTCTTTCTTTTATTGTTCTTTATTTTTATCTTATGTTTATATGGTTTATTAGGGGTATTCTTCCCATTCTTAATATTGCCTTTTTTTATTTTAGCCCACAATTACATCATCCCAAGAATTAACTTTTTTTCAGTATTTTATTAAGGAGAATTTCTTTAAAAATACATATTTTTAGATAAATTTTAATCAGTATTTTATATTTAATCAGCTTTTTATACTATATATGTAGTTTTTTATTATATTTATGGTGTTTTTAATACATTTTATGTAGTTTTTTATATTGATTATGGACTTTTTTATATTAATTATGTGTTTTATAAATTTTTTTAGGCACTTTTATTAGTAATACTAATATCTAATTTACTAAATATATTTCTTTTATCAAAAATGGATTTTTTGGAATTAAAAAAGAGTAAAAATCTATTAAAAAGTTGACTTTTTTAAAATATAAAATTTAATTTTTTGTTTCATTTCTAATGTTATCCCTCATTTTAATGAAATGTTCAGAATTCAATATTTTTCTTGTTTTCCAACCTTAAAAATAAGCAAATAAATACTAAAATAGAAATAATTTTTTAATAAATCTTCTTCTTTAAATAAAACTTCTAATTATTTTCTAAATTTAAATCGCACAATGATTTATAAACTAATTTATAAGTTATTTTTTTTATAATGTCTTTATTTTAATATATATTTATATATATAATAGCATATTATTTTTTATGCATTTGATTTATTTTTAAAATAATTGTTTCTTTAGTTATTATAATTATTTGGTTAATAATTAAAATGACTTTTTATAGTAAAATTATTCAATTAAGATAATAATAATATATCATCGACTTTTTTTATTAAATTTTCGTTCATTTTTTTTATTAATATAATATAATATAATATAATATAATATAATATAAATATTTAATATTAATTTATATATATATATTTTTTTTTTTGAATTGTTTAAAATTTAATAATTTTAATAAAATAATAAATTATATAAAATGTATATAAAAAATTATTTTTTTTATTAACTAAATAAAATATTTTAAAATTACTATATATTTTTATTTTTTTTAAATACAATTTTTATTTAAATATTTAAATTATGATTTTAGGTTAAGAAAATATTGAATTTGTTACAAATAGATAGAACTCAAAAATTTAATTTTTATAAGCAGAAAATGCATAACTTTAAGAAGATATAAAAGATTTAGAAAACTCTCTTAAATTAAATAAAGAAGCATTGAAAATAGCCTTTGAATAAAAAAGATTGTTAAAAACAAATCAAAATAATATTTAAATGGAAGATAAAAAAAATAAAATTTATGAAAAATTAAATTTAGAGAATTAGTAATTGATATAAGCATTATAAAGGGTAACAAAAGAAAGAAATTATGCATAAAGTAAAGTAATAAAATTCTATTAAATAAATAAATAAATATATATATAAATATATATATATATATATATATATATATATATATATATTTATTTTTAAATATATATTTTTTTTTATTTATTTACATACCTAATAGGTTTTAATATAAGAATAAATAAATGAAGAAGCATAGTGTTTTTAAAAAGACATTATTTAAGAATTAGAAGATAAAATATTAGAACTTCGAAGAATCATTCATGATAAAGAATATGCTATATAGGAATTAGAAAAGATGAAACCTTATATAGATAAAAATATGGTTGTTAAAATAAAAGAAGTAAATATATATGTATATATATATATTTATTATAATAAAAAAATGAATAAGTTAATAACACCTAATGAACAGTCAATAAAACTATACGGAGAAATAGAGAATGATAAATTAATGATAAAATCATTAAATAATGAAAATAATAGATTATAATAAATCAATAATAAATTAAAAAATTTTAATAAAGTAATGTAACTATTTATAATTTTTTTTTATATTCTTTTTCTTTTTTTATAAAAAATAAAAATATTAAAAGTTATTAAAAAGAGAAGTAACTAAAATAAAAGTGGCCATAAAAAATCCAATTAATTTTTCGAAAATGAAAGGTTTTTTATTTATTTATTATATAACATTAAAAAAATATTAGATTTTATAATTAACGATACATTATAAAATGGAGATGAAGACATGATTTTAAATAGGGAATATATATAGGAATTTTTTTAATAATCAAAAGAATAGTAAGCAAATCAATAGTTAATTTTATAATAATATAGTTAAAAATAAAACATTAATAATTTATAAACTTAAAATTAAAAATCTAAATAATAATTGATAGATGATATAAATAAATTACAATAAAATATTAAATCTTTTAAATTATTATATTATAGAGAAACATCAAATAATGAAATATTAACTAGATAAGTAAATAAAATTAAATCTATATTATATAATATATATATTTAAAATAATATAAAAATAATTTATATTTACATAAGATTGATTAATAATAGCAATTTAATAAATAAGTATGTTCAATAAATGAAACTTTAATAGAAAGTAATAAATAAAATAGTTAATAAATCTAAAAAATGAAATAAGAAATTGAATATTATAAAAAATTTTATCACAAATATTTAGAATTAATACAAAATAGATAAAAAAATAAAAACAATTCTTCTTTAATAATAAATGATTAAAAATAGTTAATAAAAATTAAATAATATAAAAATTATATATATATATATAAATATATATATATATATATTTATATATTTATATTTATAAATATATTTTTATATATTTATTTATTTATTTTTATTTTTATATATACAGATTAAGTACTTTTAATTAAAATAAATATTAACATTAAAAATTTTAAAGTATGCCATAAGGAGATATGCCTTTTATATCTCCTAGAATAATTGCAGAAGTAAATGAAATAGAGGAAACAACTGCAAGGACATAAAGAAATGATTTTATAAATAATCAACAAAATAGATAACTTAGCAAAAATAAATAAAATAATAATAATAATAATAATAATAATTCATAATATTCTGACTAACAAAAAAAAGATCAATCATATAAAGATTAATAAAATAGTAATAATGATATGACTAAAAATTAAGATATCGATAATATTTATAATAATAATGTTTATAATTATCCTGCAACTTCAAGGCCATTTACATACGATGCTGATAAGAACATTTTATAAGAATTAAATGAATAATTACATTCACAAAGTGATTATTAAATGGAGGAAGAAGAAGAAAATAAAGAATTAACTATTTAATAATGCAAAAGATATTTAAAAATTTTATAAAAAGGTTTTTTTTGTTTTTTTTTTATATTTTATTATGTCTTATTTTTTTAAAAATAAATAAATAAATAAATAAGATATTGATAATATATGGAAATTTAAAAAAGAAAGAAAAAATATAGGAATGACTAAAAATTATAGAGAAAAACTATATGAAATTATAAATTAAAAATCTGGAATAAATAATATATATAAGATAAAAAGAAGTTTAAGTGATCCTCTAGATTATTTCCATATAGAAAAATAAATTATATAAGAAAATAATGATACTAATAATAATAATGATAATAATAATAAAAATACTAATAATAATTATAAAAATTAAAATGTTAAATCAGGAAAAATCGACACAAACAAAATATTTAAAATAGATTTATCAATTATAAGTGATCAAAAAAGAATATTTAGAAATACTTTGGGAAAAAAAGATGTATTTTTAGATGCCAATGTATCATTTATATCAAATGAATATGATATAAATGAATTATGATTTTATTTTTATTAAAAAAATTATTAAATAAATTAATATATATAAAAAAATATATATATATAATTATATATATAATATATATATATATTATATATATTATTTTTATTTAAAAAAATTAAATAAAAAAAAAATCAAATATATTTGTTTTTATAATTTATAAATATTTTTTATTATATTTTTTTATAATGTCCAATTAATAAAATACATAAGAATAACCCTAAAAAGAAATAAGAGATTTTGTCGAAGAAAGATCAAATTTTAAATATGGATAACCATTTCCATTAGGACTTTGGTGGAGTTTGACTTCATTTTAATTATTTTAAGGTATTCATTGCTTATTTGCTAATACTGCAGATTAAATAGTTTCTAAAGTATTTTTCTTTGTTTAATAAAGAAATAATAATAGTTATATTGAAAATAATTTAAGATTAACCAGATATAGAAATTTAGATGATAAATCTGCATGATTAATTATAATACAGTATTTTTAAGACGATAATAATAAAATATTATTAAATATAATATATTATATTTTTTATATATTATTTTTTAAAAAATATAAAAGATAAATTATATTATATATGATCAATCATTTTTAATAGGATTTTTTACTTATATATGTCTTTTTTTTTAAAAAAAATAATAAATAATATATGTTTAGTTTAAAAAATAATATTACAATTAGTTTATATTTAATATATAAATAAAAATAGATTTGTAATATATATATATATATATTTTTTACTTATATATTTCTTTTTTTTAAAAAAAATAATAAAAAATATATGTTTAGTTTAAAATTAATATTACAATTAGTATATATTTAATTTATAAATAAAATGTATTTTAAATATATATATATATATATATATATATATATATATATTATAAATTATATATATATTTTTCTATATTTTACTTTTATTTAAACTTTTTTTTATTTAAAATATTATTTAGAAAATCTATAAAATAATTTTATTTTTAATTAAAAATTTTTTCGATTAGAAAAGAAAATACATATAATTTTTATAAAATATTAATTTTCTAGAAACAAATATATAAAAATTCAATATATTTAAACATAACAAAAAATCTATTAAAAAAAAAAATCTTAATTTAAATAATATAATAAAAATATGGATATTATAAATATAACAGAAGACAGTGGAATAACTAAATAAATTTTACAACCAGGCCACGGAGACGAACATCCTTAAAAAGGCTAAACCGTTGAAGTTCTTTATGTCGGAAAACTTTTAGACGGGACCTAATTTGACTCAAATACAAACCGAGAAGATCCTTTTTCTTTTACAATTGGCGAAGGATAGGTAATAAAAGGTTGGGATTAAGGTGTAGCTTCAATGAAAAGAGGCGAAAAGGCTTTATTGACATGTACAGCTCCTTATGCTTATGGAGAAGCAGGAAGTCCACCATAAATACCTCCAAATGCAACATTATAATTCGAGGTGGAATTGTTAAATTTCAAAGATAAGGAAAAGACTAAATGGGATTACAGTTTAGAAGAAAGAGCAGAAATAGGTAAGAAATATAAAGAAGAGGGCAATTAGGCATTTAAATAGGGAAAAATGGAAGAAGCTGTAAAATTATATGATTAGGGAATAGATTATGTTGATTTTGGAAATGAAGTTAACGGAAGCACTGAATTAAGGATGACTTTGTATTTAAATTAAAGCGCAGTTTTAATGAAATAACAAAAATGGGAAAAAGTGGTGAAAAATTGTGATATTGTAATAGAAAAATAGCCAGTAAATGTCAAAGCACTTTTCAGAAGGGGAAATGCCCGTTTAAATTTAGGTGATTTAGATTAGGCGAAAGCTGATTTAACTAAAGCACATGATTTAGATAAGGAAAATTAGGAAATTATTAGTAGTTTAAGGGTTTTGGCTAATAAATAGAAGGAACTTGTTTAGAAATAAAAGAAAATGTGGGGAGGGCTTTTCGGATAGAGCTATTATGAAGATGAAAAATAGGAGTTTTCAGATAGTTCTAATCCTAGAGTATTTTTTGATGTTCAGATCGGGGAGGAAAATCCGGAAAGAATAGAGTTTGAACTATTTAAAAATATAGTGCCGAAAACTGCCGAAAATTTCAGGGCGTTATGTACTGGAGAAAAAGGAGTTGGAAAATAAGGAAAATAATTAAGCTATAAGGGAAGCATTTTTCATAGACTTATTAAAGATTTTATGATATAAGGAGGAGATTTTACTAATCAAAATGGAACTGGAGGAGAGTCTATATATGGAGAAAAATTCAATGATGAAAACTTCAAAATAAAACACACGGCAAGAGGATAACTTTCTATGGCTAATTGTGGACCAAATACAAATGGTAGTCAATTCTTTATTACTTTTAAAAGTACACCACATTTAGATGGAAAACATATGGTGTTTGGATAAGTTTGTAAAGGATTGGAAGTTTTGGATAAATTAGAAAACTAAGAAGTGGAGGGAGAAAAACCCAAAAAAAGTATTAAGATTATAGATTGTGGGTAGATATGATAATATTTAATCTATCTATAGATATTATATCTATAAATATATATATATATATATATATATATATATATATATATATATTCATTTTTATATATATATATTATATTTATTAATATAAAATTAAAATAAATATAAAATAATAATTTTGTTTTTAATTCAATATATTTTATTTATTATATTTTTATTAGATATTATTATATCTATATATTTCATTTTATTCATAATTTATATAATATCTTTTCTTTTATTATATTTTAATTTAGTATTTACATTTATTTTTATAAATTATTTAAATGTTTTATTATTTATAAATAAAAAAATCTAATTCGTATGTAGATGAAAAATATAATCTCATATTTTAATAATAATTTAATAGAAATTAGAATAATATTTAATAAACGATTTTGTATTATTTAATTATAATATAAAAATTATACCAAATATATATAAAATAATTTATTTACATTTATAAATTATCAATAATATTAAATGAAAATTTTAATTAAAATTTAACTTTTTTTAATATTAATATATTTTATTTCAGTTTTTTTTCACTATTATAATAATAATATTTGTATATTTTAATTAACTTTTTTATATGATTTTTCTACGTTTTTTTTTGTTTTGTTTTAATTAATTATATAAAATAAATATATTTTATTTTTAATAATTACTATGTCAATATTTTTTTATTTATAATTAATCCTTTCTTATAGAATTTGTAAATTATTAATTAATTTTTATTTATTTTTTTAATATAAAATTAAATTTGCTATAAAAAATTTTGATTATTTGATTTAATTATTTATAATTAAATAATTTTGGTATTTTTTGAAATCATAAAGTATTATTTTTTTATTTCTATATATATTTATTATTATATTTATTTATAATTTTTATTATTTTTTTTAAATAATTTTATTAAAAATTTACTTATTTAAGTAGAATAAAGATAATTCTTTATTAATTTAATGAAAATCTTTTAATATAAATTTTTTAATTAAAATATAAAAATTTATTTAAGAAAGTTAGAGTGTCTAATAATATATAAATAAAATATATTTTTATGCTATTTTTTTTTTTAAAAACAAATATAAAAATTTATTAGATTATATATATATATACGAAAAATATTATAATAATATACTTTAATATTTCTTTTTAAATTTTTACTTTTAATTTGTAAATTTTTTTTATTTTATATTCCTTGATTTAAATTGAAAACAAATTATTATAAATTAAAAAAAAAATATAACTTATATTATATTTGAATAATTTAAAATAAATATATACATTTATTCTCTGTTTCTTGAAACCGGTTTTATTTTATTATCAATAATTATACTATTTATATAAATTAAAAGAAGATTTATATATTTTTTTCTCTTAAAAATAATTATTTAATACGAAACTCTAATAAATTAAAAATAAATAAGTTAATAAAAATACAAAACTTTAATTTATAAAAAAAAAAATAATATAATTAAATAATATTGCTTTAATTTTAGTAATTTTTGTTGTTTTCTTAAAACATATAAATACGTTATTTTATAGAAAATATTTTTTATATATATAAATTTATATTTTTTAAAAAAATATAAAAAAAAAACAAAAAAATTAAAAATAATAAAACAATGAAATTTCAAATATATTTATTTATAATCTTAATAATATACTAGATTAAAACATAATAAATATAAATTTTATATTTATTTGAAGATTTTATATTATCAAAAATAACGACAAACCCCTGGAAAATTGAAAGATAAATAAATCAAACCGCAAACATAAAAACTACGTGCACATCCTAAGAAAATCAATAATTTGAAGTTTTTGGTCTTGTATAAACATTCGGAAAAGATACAGTTATAACAAGAAGTTTTTCTACTTAAGAATAATAAAATAAATGCTATTTTGAATTCGATATATATTATAAGGGCACTGTAGAAAACGATATTCTATTATTATAATTTGATACATACAAATGTAAATATAAAAAATAAATATATATATATATATATATATATATATATATGAATATATATATATAATCATATATATTTATAGAAATAATTAATCTTCCTTTAACTACTTCATAAACTTCTTCGTGTGCTAATTAAGAAGTCAATATTTTGAAAAACTCCTTAGAATTATCTATTGTTAATACTTAGTTTACAATTCGTTTTTAAGCTTAATTTTAATAAAATTCTATTCTATAGGCATATTGGGGTTTGAAAAATATAATTTTAAAATGCCATAAGTTTATATGTCCAGATAATTAATTTTATGATGTAGTTATTTAAACTTGTGTATGTGATAAAGGATATAAATAAATATAAGATAATCCTTTATTATGTATAAAATAATCTGGGTGCCCAGATAATTCTTTTTATTCTCAAAGAGAAATAGATGGCGAATTTTATTGCTAATGTGTTAATGGATATAAACCTATTTAAGAAAATCCTTTAGTTTGTGGAGTTATAAATATATGCGATGATTCCTGTCTAGTATGTTATGAAGATTCTTGTATATTATGCAATCCTTTATAGAAAAAAACCTAAGATTAAAAAGGATGTGAGTGTCCTTTAAATTCAATTGAAAATGTATACTGCACACCTCCTGAAAATTCGACTCCTTTAAACAAAGAGACTTTCACATATGAATGTCCAATAAATGGCTATTTATCAGTAGATAGAACAAAATGTTTATGTCCTTAGAAATCCAGGCTTTCATAAGACAGGAAAAAATGTGAATGTCCAAATAATTCTTCACCAGCTTAAGATAAAACGATTTGTTAATGTAATTTGGGGTATTATTCTATTATAAAAAATCCTCTTATTTGCCTATAAATACCTATGTGTAATGCCTCATGTGCAATTTGCTTTATTAACTCGGATAAATGCATGATTTGTACACCGAATTCGGAACTACAAAATGATAAGAAGACTTGTAAGTGTAAAAATGGATTTAAATTAAGTTAAAATGGATACTTTTGTAATAAAAATTGATAAATAAATATATAAGTATAAATATATATATGTATATATATATATTTAATTATATTTTTATAATTATTTTGATAATTAAACTAAAATATCAATAAAATAATATTTATAGAGTCACTTATTAGATAAATAGATGTGAAATTAAATATTATAGATTAATGCGTTATAACTTATATAAAATACAAAAATATAAATGAAGATTTTATAAAATTAATTAAATAATAATAAAATAATATATTATAAAATATAAATTAAAGTATATATTCTTTTTATAGTAAATACTTTAAATTAATTAATATATATATTTTTTTTATATATATAATATTTCAAAAAAAAAGATCAGAAAAATATTTATATATATTAACTTTTATATAAAAATAATCATTATAATTATATTAATGTTTATATAAAAATTCAAATTTAATATATATATATTATTTTAATTATTCAAATAATATATATTGTGTATTTTAATAATGTGTATGTGTCGTATTTTTATATGTAAATACTAATAAATTCTAATTATATATAAAAATGATCTTTAAAGTATATATAGTATGAATTCCTTAAAATATAAATAAGATAAAATTACTTAATTAATTAATAATATATATTTAATAATTTTATTATAAATTTAATAATAATATCTTTTTTTTTTTACTAAAATAAAATAAAATAAAAAATATAATATATGTATAAATCGAAATTAACATAAAGCTAAAATATAAAAAATAAATTCGAAAAAAATATTAAACTTTTTAATTTTTAACAAATTATAATATATTTATATAGTTATATATATATATAATAGGGATTAAAAAAAGAAATTATATAGATTAAAATATTAGAATATTATGAAATTGAGAAATAATGTTAAAAAAATACAAATATTTTTCCTAAATATATCAAAATTTCTACTTCTTTGTGAAAATGTTAAACAAATACTTAACAAATAAAATAATATATATAAAAAAATTTAAAATGAGAAGTAAAATATACATATTAAATGTTTTTTTTTTCTTATTAATCAATTGTTTAATTTTTTTAAAAAAAAATATTTTAAAGCTAAATAAATGCTTTTTAATTTTTTTAACATTTTTTATAATTTTTTTTTTTTTTTATATAATTATATTTATAATATAAACTATATTGTTCAAAAATTTAAAATGCTTCATTTTATTAAAAAAAAATATCATTAAAATTTGTATTTTTGTTTACTTTTTAACAATCAAAAACTAAATGATATTAATATAATCAAAAAAATAAAAAAAAAAATAGAAAATATTAACTAATAATTATTTCTAAAATTTACTTACATTAATAAGAAATATTAAAGTAAAAATAATCTTATTTTTCAAGAATATAATATTAAAGTAAGAAATAAATAATAATTTCATAATTATATCATTATATTTTATAAAGAAAAAACATAAAATTGATAATAATATAATATATTTTTTTTTTAAATTTTAATTTAATTAAATTAATCTATAGATTAAGATATTTTTAAAATAAAAAATATATCTATAAAGAATATAAATTTTATAGTTTGAAAATATAATTATTAAATTATAAAAATCATTTAATAAATTTTAAAATTAAAAAAAAAACTATAATCATTTTTATGAAAATAATTTATTTATATATTGTATAAAAATATTATAATTTTATAATGTTATAAATGTAAAAATATAAAAAGTTAATTAATATTTTGAAAAAAAAAATTTAATTATATTTATTTGATATTTTATATAAATATATTATAAAAGTAAGTTAAAATTATTAAATAAAAATACATAAATAGATAAATATATAAATATATAAATTTATTTTATTTGATTTTTTAATTTATTTTTATTTATTTAATTCCAAATTTTTATTATTTTTCGCTTAACTTTATTACTTTTTACTTATTTAATATTTTTATTCATTATTTATTGTTATACATTTTTTTAGGGTATTAAATTCCGATATAATTTTTTTTTGTGTTTGAATATTTTTATTATTATATTTCTTAAATAGTTTTTTTTATTTATTTTATTTTAATTAATTTATTTTCTTTAATTTCTATTTTTTGTTTTATGATAACTATTTATTTTTATAATAATTAAAAATATGATATTCATAAATATAATTTTTTATTATTTTTAAAATATTTTATATATATAATATTTTTTTATTTAAATTTATTTATGATTTTTATTTAATATTAATTTTTTTACATATACATTTTTTTGTTTTTTTTTGTTTTTTTTTGTTTTTTTCTAGGTAAATATAATGGAAAATAAAAATAATAAATTTTATTTTTTGTGTAAGCTATTTATTTTTTTTTATGAAAAAAATCATATATTATTTATTTAAAAAAAAATATACATATATTTATTTTTTTTAAATTATAATTTTTAATAATACTAAAAAATTTAAAATCATTAACTTTCACAAAATCCACTAATTATATTAAAAATAAACCCTTGTTTACATTTACAAGTTTTTTAATTGTAATCTAATTCCGAGTTAGGTTTACAATTTAAACAATTATCTGAGAAATAGGCACACTTCATACAACTTCTATCACATATAGGAACTTTACTACAAACAAACTTGATTTTATTCTCATTAAATTCACATACACAGTCCTTATTTTTAATCCAACCTGACTAACATTCACAATATTTCCCATTATTAGAAAGTTTAGATTATTACAGACATGTGCATATAAAATTTTGGTTTAAAGACTAAGGACATTCATATGCAAATGTTTGTTCATTTAAAAATGAATTTATGGGTTTTTGACAAGTTTCTGAATTTAAAGAATTTTTAGGACATTCACATCCTTTTAAATCGGATGTTAATTTTTTAGGATACTTACAAAATACACATACACCATAATCACATATAGTACAGGAAGTATTACAGGTAATAGCTTCACATATATAGGGGTTTTGAGGAGGATTTTAGTATCCGTATAGACATTTACAATAGTATTCACCGTCTTCTTTTTGTGTATAATATGAATTATCTGGACATTATATTAAATTTTTAGAAAGGCATTCTATTGAGATATTACGGAGACCCCAAAAATTTTAGGAGGATTAAATTAAAGTTGAAAAGCTAATTTAAAATAAGGAGTTTTTAGGAAAATCTGACAAATTTAGTTTTTATTTTATTATTTTTACAGTCTTTTTTTCTGTTTAGTTAATATTGTCGATACATTGTATTGATTATGTATTTTTTTCTTGGTTATATTAAATCATTTCTGTATAATATAAATATATATATATATATATATATATATATATATATATATATATATATATATATATATACATGAAATCGATTCTGTTTATATTAATAGAGTATCTTCGATATTTTCAGTTTAGTTATATATATATAAATCGAAATTTAATTTACAGTATTATTTTGATATGTCAGTATCTATATATTTTGATACTATTGTTTCTTTTCCAAAAATCTGTAAAAGTCCAAAAACTTCATGTTAAGTTTGAAAATTGTCAAAACTACAGATTGTTTTTGATATATAAGGACTTATTTAATTAGATATTTGCCAGCTATTTAATTATATGCTAGAATTTTATAAATCTTAGAAAATTAGTTCATATTATAGTGTTTAAGTGCACAAGATTATAAAAATTATAGTTAGTTGGACTTTATTTTACATTGGATTTTAAATTTTTTTTCAAAAATTAATTTTTTTTTTTATTATTATTTAAATATTTATTTTTAATAATATGATGAAATAACGCTTATTTTTTTTTTTTAAATAGAAATTTATATTTATATATATATGAAAAAAAAAAAAAAAAAATGGCTTTTTTTTTTTTTTTTCATTTAATACTAAAATGTTCTTATTATAATTAAAAATAGTTGTTTTATTATTTATAAATATCTGATTTTAATAAATTCAAATAAACTGGATTTTCCATTTTTACACTTTAATAAAATTGTAAATGTTTATCATCAAAAGAATTGCTATTTTAATAACGTATATTATTATCGGATATGATAATATCTAATTCTTAAAATGAACACTATTCTTAATTATTAAATTATATAAAAGGATAATTAATATTATTTTAATTATTCTATTTAGTAGATATATTTTATTCAGTTTATTCTAAAGTACATAAATGGTTTAGCCTAAAAATTAAAATATCTTGTTAGTTTGTATTATTTTATTATATATTTTAAAATAGTCTTTATTTGTTTTCAATAGAAAAGTATTTATTTATAAGTTTTATATTTTAGTTTTGCTTAAAAATAAAGCATTCCTCATTAATATTATTTATTTTAAATTAGTCTAGATTCTTTAAACATATTGGCCATTCTTCTTCACATTATTTATTTTAATTTTAAATCAGGTTTTTATTTTTAAGAGTACTCTGGTATATACTCCTATAAATTTCTCTCTAAATCTAAATAACCTTCTTATTTATGTATATTTAACATAATCTCATATGAAAATCTTCCATATTAATAATTTAATTAATCCCCTATTCAATTATTTATATAACATCGTCTATTTAATCCATTTAAAATACATATATATATATATATATATATATATAAAATATACATCCTATAGCATTCATAATTTAATCTTATAATAAATCTAAAATAACTAATCCTATTTTAAAAAGTGCCTGATAACCATAAATGATTAAATGATCAATAGAAACTTTGCAAATCTTATATAAATAAAAAAAGTATATATATTTATATATATATATATATTTATAAATATATAAATTTATATATATATATATTAAACTATTTATATTTATATATATGTATATATATATATATATTTACTATATTTATATATATTTACTTCTTGTTATAAACTATTTGTATATATACAGGCAAACCAAGATGTTGTTATAATATTTAAATCAAAGTTAATAGATTCGAATTTTTTGTATATTTTATAATTATGATTATATAATAGGTTCTTGAATATATTTTAATCACATAAAATTCCTATTAAATGATTTGTATAATAATCTAAAGGAAGAATATTTTCAAGTACATATCCATATATCCAAAAGGCTTCCTATATAATAAAATAACTTTTATAAAAAAAAAAAATATAACGAAAAAAAAAAAATATATATTTATATATATAGATATATATATATACTTCGTCTGAAAAATCCATGTCTAAAATAAATTTCCCAAAAAAATTTAAACCTTATACATATCCAATTAATGCATTTCTTTTGGAATATGCATTTAATAGGTTTCTTAGTTTATTTATTTATGTATTTTAATTATCATTTTTATTTTTTATATATGTTCTATTTATATCTTTTTCAATTATCTCCTAAAATATAGAAGGAAAATTATTAAAACTTAGCAAACTTTGGTAATAATTAGGATTTTCCTTTATTTAAAATTATGCATAAGTTCCTATAATCCAACACTATTTATTTATATATATGAGGTATAGAAATATATATACTTATTTTCTTTATTTTTATGTAATAGAGGAATATAAATCAATTTTTTAAAATTTTATTTTCATTATTTTAAAAAAATTTTTATCAAATGAATTCTTATTTGAGTATTATTCTATAATCTAAAAATGTAAATGAATATGAGATATGATAAATATATATATATATATATAATTATTTTCAAACAATTTATATTATATTAGATTCAGCATATTATATTAATTTTTATTATTTTATTAATTTTTGTTTTAATTTGTTTTTTCATCCTATTCTACTTCCATTAATATAAACTTTTTCAATATATTAGTATGAAATTTCCTATATATTATTAAATTTTTGCTTTTTTGTTTATTTAAAGATATTGCGGCTATATCTTCAAATGATTTAATATTATAGAAATTTTCTAAATGATTTGCTAATCTATTTTTATTTATTTCTTAAATCATAATTATTTATTAGATTTTTTTATTTTGTATAATTATAAATATATTTATTCTTTTTTTTTTTTTTTTTTTAAAAAAAAAACTAAAAAAAAACAAAAAAATAATTATTAACAGAAATAAATAAAGCAAATCGCCATTTTATTTATATAAAATAATTACTTATGTTTGATAAAGTGAATTTTTTGGTTTTAATAAGACTAGTTTTATTTGTAAAATTTAAATAATGATGATTTTATGATAAAATTAACAAAATGTAAATATTTTTGATATACATTTATAAAATGCCTAAAAAAAAATTAAAATACATAAAATAATCATAAATAAGATATATATAATATTTTGATAATTATATTGGAAATAATAATAAAAAATTAAAAAAAAATAATAATAAAAAATATAGTTAAATATATATTTGAGAAAAATTTAAAAGGATAAACAATAAAATAAAATAAAATATATAAATAATAATTTTAGAGATAAAAAACCAAGAAGTATGTGTAAAAATAAACTAAAATAAATAATTAAATACTAAAAATATAAAATGTTTAAATTATAAATATATAAAAAAATAAAAATATAGAATTATAGAAAATATATAGTATATGTTTGTTAATATAACAATTATATATTAATAAAATATTTTTAACGATAATTCAAATATTTAAATAAAGCATACAGAATTTTTATTTGAAAAAAAAAAATTATGGAAATATATATATAAATTGATTTAGATTTAATATGATAAATCTCTTTTTATTTATAGAATATAATTATTTTATAAAGTTTTTTTAATTTGGTATGTCTAATAATAAATATGTATTTATATATTAAAATATTTTTTATTAAAAGAAATAAAATATAAAAATCTTTTTTAAAATAAAAAATAAAAAGATAAAGTATATAATAATAATATATATATATATATATATATATATATATATATATATATATTTATATTTAATTTTATTTAAATATACATTCATTTTTTCTTTAATTTTTTCTCACAATCGCTATTTTCTATTAAAATAATTTCTCCTTTTCGTTTTTAATTAATTAAATTATTATTTATATTATTATGATTATAATTATTATTATTTTAAAAAGTATTATAATTCTATATACTATTCATTAACTATTAAAATATATTATTGAATTGAAGCTGAATTTATTATTGTTCTTATATTTTATATTAATTAATTTATTAATATTTTTAATATATCTCATTTTATTCATAAAAACTTTACATACAAAATAATTTTTTTTTAATAAATAAAATTAAATATATTAACTACTCTTCTCTTTTTAAACTATATCCTATTTCTTAAATTTATGGCAAAAAAGCATTACTTTTATATTTTTTCTTATGTTTTTACGAGCTTATATGCTTTTATGTTAAAACTTTTTTATATACTAATATGTTTTTTTACTAAATTATAATCTTTATATTATTATTTGCATACTGAGCAATATGTTTATATTTTGTCAGGTTAAGGAAAACCCTGTTTTATTCTATATAAAAAATAATATTAAATATTTTTACTAAAATTCCTTTATTCTTTTATTATTTATTATCTTAATGTTTATTAAAATACCATTAACTATTATTTTAATACTCATTCTTTAAAATATATAATAATAAAAAATATTAAAAATAAACCATATCGATTTCTAATATAAATCCTGGAATATAAGGTTTTTTATCCGTATTAAGTTTAGGAATAATACTTTATTATTTACTTTAATTTATATATAAATATACATATATAATGTATAACTATATATACATATATATATATATATATATATATATATAAAATAATATATATATATATATAAATATTCATTTTGTACTTTAAATTATTATTATTATTTTAATTTATTATGGAGAGTAATCTACTGTTATATTTTTTAATAATAACATTTGTTATTAATCGGTTTTATTTAAAAAATGTGTTTTTCATTATTTTCTAATATACTTTTTTCATATTAAATATTAATCATTTTTTAAAAAAAAAATTGATTTTTTTTAATTAAAAATATAAATAAAAAAATAATTTTATTATTAATACATATATATATATATATATATATATATATATATATATATATTTATATATATATTTTTTTATACATATTCATATTCATATACATATACTTATTTCTTTTTTTTAATAAAAATGAAATATTTTCTCATTAATATTATTAATGTTTTATTATTTAATTTAATTAAAAATTAAAAAAAATACACTCTTCTTTATAAACTTCTTTATTTTTTTCTATTTAATTTACTAATAAATCATCATTATATAATTCTTCCTCGTCTATATTCCACTTAAACATGAATTTTTTAATTGATTATTCACTATTATCTATAAATAAATGACTTTACAGCATTATATTAATAGTTGTAAATAATTTTTAAAACTCTAAAAGATCTGAAGCGTATAATATAGGAGCTAAATATTTTACATTATGCATTAAATCATCATTTTTTAAATAAACACGAAAAAAATTATAAGATATTGGACATATATTATCTTTTATTTCACTTGATCTTAATGGAAATGTATAATTTATAGATTTTTCGTCATAATCGTGGGCATCGCAAAATCCTTTTATAGTTATAAGAGTTTTTTCATCAATATCAATTTAAATAACATCAATTTTTTAGGGCATATTACATATAAAAGTACTTAAATTACGAAATTTTTCAGAGAATAAAACTATTTTATTATCATTAGTTTAAAATTTAATATCTTCAAATATATCCATTAGTATAAAAAAAAGTTTGTTATGTTTTGTAAAAAATTTATTACTTATATTAAAAAATATAAAATATAAAATATAAAAAATAAAATATAAAATATATATATATATAATATATTATATATATATATATATATATATATATTTTATCTTTTAGAATTATTTTTGCTTATAGTATATGTATTATATATTTTTTAATTAATAATATAAGATATTATATATTTAAATTAATTTTTATATCTATTTTATATAAAGAATTGTATTTAACAAATAAAGAAAAAATATCAATTTTAAAACTAAAAAAATAATGATATAAAAAAAATAGATTTTCTTAATAACTTTTTTAGTCTTAATTATTGGAACATTTTTCTATTTAAACTAATAACAATAATAATTATCTTAAACAATACTTTTTTCATAAAAAAATCTTAAAAAAAGATAAATCGTTCCCCCACAAATGTCCTCGAATTGTAAGTAATTATGTAGAAAACATCATATAGTTAGAAATGATGAAATTCGAAATACCTTTGTTTGTTGTGCTAAAGGTAAATGGGATTTTTCTAAAAAAACTTGTAAAGAAATTGTTTAATTATAAGATTGCTGATTTTTTATTTTTTTAATAAAAAAATTATTTATAAACCATTTAATATATTTTCTAATATATTAATTTTTTGTTTTTTATATTATTTAAAACAATTTTTATTTACTTATAATTTTTTATATATTTTATGGCCTCTTTATAAGCTATATCTTTATTATTAAATGCTAAAAAAATCACAACAAAATCATTTTCCTCATTAAATCGCACCACTAGTAGCTATTTAACAATATTAATATGATTGTATTAGTTGTTTATAAGGCAATTTTAATACTATAAATTGCTATATTGGCTGCCTATATGTCATTATTAAAATAGAGTTAAATTATTTTATGATTAATTTATTAATAAAAAATTATATGTATTGAAAAATATTATAATTTAATAGAAATGAACTTAATAAAAATAATGATTTTTTTATTATAAAATTTTGTTAAAAAATTAAATTTATATAAAATAATTAAATTAAAAACTCAAACACTAATCAATTTTTTATATTAGTACTTTAAATATTAAATTATTGTCATTTATATAGCCTGTGTATTAATAAAATAAGCGACATAAGTATATAATAAATTGTGAGATGTAGTAATAAAAAAAATTATAATTCTATAAAATTATAAAAAAAATCAATTAGGATTATAAAGAAATAGCAGTATTTTAAAATATTAAAAACTTTTTAAAGAAAATATTATAATTATTTATAAAAAAAATATATAATATAAAGAATAAAAATAATTAAAAATAAGAATTATATATAATTAAGTATATTAAAAAATAAAATTTTGAAAATTAAAAATTAAAAAATTAATTTAATTTATTTTATATTAAAGTTTAGAAATAAAAAATATATAAATATAAATATATATAAATATATATAAATATATATATAATTATAATATATAAATATAAAATATATATATAATTTTTTATATATTTAATTTTTTTTTTATTTTATATATTTTTTATATATATTTATTTATTTTTATTTTTTATATATTTATAAATCAAAAAGTACTCACATAATGTTTATATTAACCCTCTTCATTTATATTAATAACTCTTCCTCCTCTTAAAACGCCTTCTTACGGTCCATAGCATCCAAATCCCGTTTTTCTAGCATAAACTAATTCTACTCCATGAAAGAATCCTCCGAAATCATTGCTATGATCATGTCCGCAAAAAACTGCTTTAAAATTTGATTTTCTAAGCATATCAAATAAGCCTGAATTTTTAGTAGGACAGTCGACAGTATCTCCTTTAATTCCATATTGAGGAATTACTTATGAAAATTCTGGTAATGGAATATGAAAGAAAGCTAAATGTAGTATTTCTTAATTTTCAAATTATTTAATTTTATTGTTAATAAATTCTAATTATTTACCTTCTATACAGCCATAAGACTCTAAATCTCCCATACAGCCTTTATTATGTGTATTAAAAACCCAAAGAACAGTTTTAGTTATATTTTGTTTGTTTTTTATTTCAATGTAGTAGTCTTCTCCGAATGTATAACTTTATGTATTTTTTTAATCTAAAAGAATTATTTGTTCAGGCTTTAAATTAGCCTCGTGATCATGATTACCTAATGCTAGGGCATATTTCTGGTCTTTTTAGGTAAATATTTTAGTGTATTTTTGCCATTATTATTAATAAAAGTCCTAAGATTTCTAGTCCCAGGCATATCCACTTACCATATCACCTGTTATTATTACTATGTCAGGTTTTTCTTTTTCTATTAAAAAATCTATTAATGATTGAGTAAGAAGGTCTTTTAGCTCAGACTCACCCATATGTAAGTCTGACAGTTATAATATCTTAAAATTACCCTAAGTGTTAAAATTTAAACTTTCATATTGTTTTTTTTAGAAAGTTTAAGATATTAAATAAATAGATAAAAGATAATAATAAAATATCATTTTCTTTTTTTAAATATTAATATTTAACAACAATATAGAAAAAATTATAATTTTCAAGAAATAAAAAATATGTTTTTTATTTTAAAAAAAATAATAATATAAATAAATTATTAAAAATATTAATTATATATATAGAATATATTATTAATTTTTTTTATTAAAAATTATTTTTTAAATATTTACTTTTTTAAACGCAATTAAATATTAACAAATTTCTAAGTTTAATTTACATTTATTTTATTCTTATAAAATTTATTATTATTTTCTAATTTTTTTTTTTTAAAATAAAATAAAATAATATTATTTAAAAATACTTTATATTTTTTATATTAAAATTTTATTAAAAGTATTAATTTTAATTGATTTATTTAAATTTTTTAAATAAAAAAATAAAAAATCCTTCATTGTTTATAATATCACAAAAATATCAATTTTTTTTTAAAAAAATCAATTTTTTTTTTTATAAAAATGATAATAAATTTATATAAAAAAAAATTCTCAAGAAAATAATTTTAATTTATTAAAAATAAATAAATCACAAATTAAATTTTCTAAAAAAACACAAACTTTAAAAAAAAATCTGTAATTAAAAGATATTTTTATATAAAAAAGAAAATAATAATAAAAGAAAAAAAATACTTCATACATTAAGTAATAAAAATTCTTATATATATTAACTAATAGTATGAATATATATGTAATTTAGACATTAAATAAAAATTAAATAAAATTATATAAAAAAATTAAATAATTAATATAAATTAAAATAATAAAATAACATTTTTTGGATATATATATATATATATATATATATATGTATATATATATATTCATTCTGATAAACTATTTTTGAATGTTTTCTTTATGCAAATCCTTTATTTTTTTAATATTTTCCTTTAGACCTTGATCTACTTTTATATTTTTTTTTCTAAAATGATTCTTCTACTTCTATGCATCTGTCTTAATGCACCTAATAATATACATTAACACTTCCTTTTTCACATTTAGGCACTACTTTATTTTCATCTGTGATCATTTTTTCTATACTTGGAGAAGAATTTCTTAACATTATATTCCTGAAATATAGTACAAATTCCATATAAGGCATTTATATTTCCTTTTTCACATGAACTAGTTTATGGTATGCATGTAGGATATGATATTTTTCCTATCTGCTATGTCTTCGGTGTATTTTAAATAATATTTAGTGTATTTTTTAATGTAAAAGTATTTTCTGTTCTTATATTGTTTATTAATCTTGTATTTATTCTGGAACTGTTTTATCTTTTTTTTATATTTTTTCAGATAAATTATTGTTTTTTGGATTATTTATGATTATTTAACGTTCTTCACCAGTTTTCGTAGTTATTTTTTTGATTTATTGGACTTCTTTTAATATTATTTTTCCGTCGGGATTATTTTATATTATTAAAGAAGAATTTTATGGCCTTTATATTATATCTTTTTAATTTGGATATGGTATTTATTTTTTTTGAATTTAATTTATCATTTTTTGTTGTCGTTGATGTTAATGACAAATATTTATATTAAATAAAAAATATTTCAATATTGTTTTTATTATTTTTTTTAAAAAAATATATATATTATTATATTTTTGATTTATATCTTTTTATTTTATTTAAAAGAGAAAATTAAATTAAATAAAATTTAATTTATATTATATTATATAATATTATAAGAAATAAAAATTATTTTTGTTAATTGACATATATATATTTATTAATATATATATATATATATATATATATATATATAAATATTTATTTATTTTATATATTTCTTTTTATTCATTTTTTGATTTAAAATTTTATAAAACTTTATTAATTTTTTTATATTATTTTCTTTTATTTATTTTATTATAATTTTTTTATTTTTATAATCTTTTATATTTTTTTATTTTTTTTTTATATAGAGTAGAATATATTTTAAAAAAAATTATAATCATTTTTTTTTAGTTTTTTTAATTTAATAATTATATTATATCTCGTTATTTTAAATTATATTAAAATAATTTTTTTTCTAGTATTATTTTATAATAAATTCCTTTCTATTATAATTTTTTAGTGTTTAATTTTACAAAAAAACTATTAAACATATTTAAATAATATGATAATTAACTATTGTTATTTATTAATTTTTATTTTTTTGTTTTATTATATTTATTTATGTTATATACTTTTATAGAAATGTGTTTTTTTTTAATCAAAAAAAAATTATAATTGATAGCATTTTTATTTTATGTTATCGATAAACCAAAAATTATTTTTGATAGCATTAATATTAATTATATAAAGGAAAAATAAAAATTATTAATACTAATTTAGAACAAATTTAAATTCGTAAAAAATTAATAGTTAATTTCCACAAAAATAAAATTATTAAATAAAGGTTAAAAAAACATTTTTTTTAATTAAATATAAAAAAAATAATAATTTATAAAAATTAAAATATAATTATATTATTATAAATTTTATAAATAAAATAAACAAATATAGATGATAAATAATCTGGCTATATAGCAGTTAAATTAATAAAAATAATACTAAAATGTTCCTGTAAATGGAACAGCTAACGAATTAGCTCCAAATTCTTAAGTAGAATAATAAAGTTAATCTTCAGTAATTTCATAACCTATCCGTAAATATTAAATATGAAAAAATATTTAAAATAAATATATATATATATATATATATATATAAATAAATATATATATATAAATAGAAAATAACCCAATCGAACTAAACTAGTCTTCTGGAATGACTAAAAAGAAGAAAATAATTATAATTGTTTCTGTATCTGTCGCAGTTTTTATAGTATTAGGAACTGTTTTTGGATTAGTTTTATCTTAAAAATAAGAGGATAATTCTTAAATTAAGATTCCTGCAAACTACTCAAAATACGAGGCTACAATAAACAATGGACAATAAGACAATATTGTAAAATTAATACATGTTCCCAAATCTCTACTTCTATATTAATATAAACTACAAACTACATAACATCTAACTTTAAAATAAAAACCATAAGAAACTAGCATTAGTACAGTTATTCATGATGTAGGACTTTTATGTAATAATGTAAATGATAGTCATTTCGAGATGTATCTTTATATAATTAAGACTAAGATTTATTCCAAAGATTAACTTTTGTCTGAAGTCGAAGGATATCCAGGAATGATTGAAGAACCTCCTAAAGATAATATTAGAACTAATACTGATAAACCTGATTAACAAGATTAATAAGAATAATAAGAATAATAAGACCCTAATAAATCATTTTACGAAAAATTTTAAATGAATATAGTAAAATATATTCACTATATTTATTTATTATATTATATTATTTAAGGCAAATTAAATGAATAAGAAATTAAAATTTTAGAAAGTGCAGGTGTATAATCTTCTTAATTCTAATAAAGTAATATTCCTATAATTAAATTCAATCTTAATAAAAATGGCGTTATCGATTCTTTAGAACTCCCTGTAAACCTCAGATAAGACATTGGTTAAATTATATTGAATATGCTTTAATAAATGGCTCCTAAAGTATCTACTGATCTCTATAATATCAATGTATAAGGAAAAAATGGAAAAAGAGTACTTTTATAATAAAAAAAGAGAGTTTTAAATGAAAGAAATCTAGCTGGAGACTAAGTTACAACTGAATATGAAGCTTCTTTAATGGATAATAAATAAACAAGTCTTAGTACTTAATATTAAATCTCAAAAGTCAACGAAAACTAAACTGAAGAATAAACTCTTTATATGTAAAAATTACTTATGGAAGTAGGAGGAATTTTATAGTCTTAAGTAAGCTCAATAATTAAAATGTAAGACAATAATGAAGGAGAAGAGAATTTTTTCAAAACAATCGAAATACACTAAGAGGTTACGCTTACTTTTTCTTCTCAATAAGAAGAAGTCACTGAAGAGTTTTTAAAGAAAATTACAGAAACTCAATCAAATATGACTAAATTTAAACTTACATTCGAATAGGCTGTTTAGATATATCAGTAAATCTTCAAAATAAATAAAGTTGAAATTCCTAAAGAATTAAAATAATAAAGAGCTTTAATGAAAAAAAATGAAGACTAAGTTTAGGTCGGTTAGACTGTTAAATAGAAAATATTTAGATAAAATATCAATTTAGCAGAAATTGGACTCGATATTTCAAGTTCTTGCAGTTAGTCAAAAAATATTAATGGTGAAGATACTTGTAATTTCGGGTTAATAGGTACTTTCAATGGTAATTAAGTGGATTTATTCAACAAATAAATAAATTTTAGTGCCTCGAAGCTATTTAAATTATACTAGATGATGGTTAAGTTAATGTAAATAGATGCTGGCAAAATAAATGATCTTATAAAGGCCAAATTAGACAATATAAGATAATCCTTAAAAAAAATTTTAGAATAAATAGTTGAATTAATCAATTTCTAAAAAAATCCAATTTTAGTAGAAACTTCATAAAAAATATAAATAGATTAACAAGAAATTGCAACATAAATGAACGAATTTGAAGAATCTTTATTATAAATAATTGAAAATTTAAAACAAATTATGGAAAAGCCTATTGAAAATTTGAAGGAGAAATTTTAGAAGTTTTTGGAAACTAAGGAAGCAAAAATAAATAAATTTGTACAGAAAATACATGACTTTATGGATAAAAATCTAGATATTTTATTAAAAAACCTTAATGAATAAAGCCAGGCTAGCACTAGCTAAAATTAAATAAAAAAAATATAAGATATATTAGAAAAATTGAATTAAGAAGTTAAAGAATTATTCGATTAAGAATTTTAATCTTACTAATAGTAATTTGAAGACAGTATAAATAAGGCTAAAGACGATTTTTTGGGAATAAAGGAAACATTTAATTAACTTAAGTCCTAATTTGATGATGAATAGAAAATTTCTATAGTAGAGAAATTAAATGATTTCATTATTTCGGCTGGTTTTACTGATAATTTATAGAAAATCATAAATTATGCAATTTCTAATATTTCTAAAAGCTAAAATACATCAGAAGCTCTATCTGCATCAGTGATATAATAATACGAGCCTAAAATTAATATGATTAAGGAAAAATTAAAATAATTATAAGAAATTGAGAATATTCCTTAAGACATTTAACAATAAAGCGAAGCGTAGAAAATTGCAGAATTAATAGCAAAAATAAAAGAATAAATCAAATTGTAAGAATAAGAAGAAATCTAATAATTTAAAAATGAACTTGAGTAACTTATTTCATCAATCAAATAATAATTAAGTTAGGAGATTAAAGATTCTATGTCACCAAACATTGTTAAACTTGGTAATATTCCAAATGAGTTAGTTAATGTTTCATTGGAAAAAGCAGGTAAAGTAGCACTTTAAATAAAGAACATATTAGAGGAAGTGTAAGGAAAAGTAGTCGAATTTACCTAATAGTTGGATTAAAACACTACTATTACAGAAGATGATGTCAGATAATTATTTGAGGATTTAAAAGAATAAATTTAAAATTTTTAGAGTACTGAAGATGGGTAATTATTGGATATTAATATGTATAATAATGTGGATAACATATTTACTAGTATATAGTCTCTAATTTAATCTAATTTAAATGAAGGAAATGAAAATGGTCAAGCTATTATGGAATAAATCAAGTCACTAAATGAAGTTCCTTAGAAAATAACTGATTTTTATAAAAATTTGTAAGATTTATAATTGTCTGCTTTTACTTATTTTTAGAAATCCAATAATAAATTCAAAAACATTAATTAAGAAGGACTTTAATTATATAATCAAATAAGCAGTTAATTTAAGGCAGCCTAGACTAATTTTGAGAATAGTAACTAAAGACTTCTTTAATAATTAGAAGGATAAGATTAATAAGCCTAACTTTAAATGTTATAAGATTAAACTCAAGGAGTTTTTTCAAAAATAATTCTATTTGACGATACTTTAAAAGATCAAGGAAAAAATACTAAAGCCCTCTTTTTCTAAAAATTATAAGAAATAGCCTCCACATTAGAATTCTAAAAATAAGAAAATATATCGAGTTTTGAAATTCCCTTATCTTTTACCCAATCATATGTTACTCCTATTGGAATTACCATAAACTTACAAGCATAAATTAATTTGATTAACTAAATAACCTTTATGGTAGAATATAAGAAAGGCATATTGAATTTAACCACTACTCTATCGTCTAAAATTAAGATTAAAAGTAGTGTTTCAGGTTAAACCCATATAGCAGAGGTTGGAGGATTCCTATAAGGGACTATTTTTGATGGTTTTTTGACTTAAAATTTATAATTGAATGTCATGAATAGATTCAAAGGTAATTTGTCAATTCACTCTTAATTAAACGCGTCTACTTTAAAACTAGGATTTTATTAGACCGATTTTATTATTAAGGAATCTTTCTAATGCATAACTAATGCTACTTTGGTTAAGGATACAAAAGAAGGAACAAAAGAAGGAACAAAAGAAGATGATCCGAAAAAAAGATTGTTAGAGTAAGCAGGATAGTAGCATATAAAAACTAATGTAAATTCAGTTTTGGCTGTTTTAGAATTATGGATATAAAAAGCGACTGAATAATTAAAAATAGCATTAGATTTGGCGAAGAGTGAGCAATAAAAATTTGATTAATAGGCGAAATAATTGAATTAAGAAGCAGACGAAAAAACTAAATAGGCAGCTTAGGATGCATCTAACGATAAAATATAATAATAAGCTGAAAGTGCTAAGTAATTAGCAACATAGGCTTAAGCAAATGCTGATTAGGCAGCTACTAAAGTAGAGTAGGCAACTAAGGATTATGCAGATGCAACTTAAAAAGCTATGTAAGATTGTTAAAAGGATAAATAATGCGGAATTGAAATAAAAGATTTAAGTGAAGTATTAAAATGCTAAAGATAATTATTCCTTTAACCAAAAAAATTAATACTATTGATGAAATAGAATTATAAAATAAAGGTACGGAAAATAAAAAATTATAAGAAATAGTAATATAAGGATATTGAAATAATATTTTTATATATAAATATTATTTTATTTATTTATATATATAAATATATATAAATATATATAAATATATATATATAAATAAATATATGTATTAATATATAAATTTATAATTATTATAAATTATAAAAATAGTTTAAAATATATATATATATATAATATAGGTAATTATTATATAAAATAAATCAAAATATTATATTCTTTTATAAAAATATACAAAAAAGGTAAAGCAAAAACAAAAAAGTATTTAAAAATAACATTTTACATAAAAAAATTTTAAAAAATATTTAAAATGATTAATAATAAATAATAGACATTTTTATATGCTATAAAATATCATTTTTAATAAAAAAAAAAATATAAATATATATTTAAATGTTAGTACTATTTTTTATTTATTTTTTTATAAAATTAATAATGATAAAAATTTACAAAATATTATTGTATTATAGACTTAATATTCAATATTTAATACAATGAAAATAAGCAGATATAAAAATTTATATGGATTATCAATTTTTAACGGATGAATTTTATATAAGCATAATTTTTTCATTATATTATAGAAATTTTTATTATATTAGAAACTTAATATATATCAGTGTGTATAAATTTATTTTCTTTTTGTAAATATAAATGATAATAAATAAATAAATTTAAATATAATTTTTTTTTTTTTTATAATTATTAATTATATTTTAAATCGTAATTACTCTTAGTAGGTATTATTTTTTTAAAAAAAATCTAGAATTAATAAGGAATAAAAAAAAAACTAAGTTTTTCAAGTCAAAAAAAAATATGTAAGCAATAAATATAAAATATAAAATATTAAACATAATATTTTTATTTTTATATTAAATTTTAAAAAATTAAATATATTAAAATAATAATATATATTTTCTAGAAAGGCTATATTTTTCTTAATTAAAATAAAATAGAAAATTATATATTGTAATTTTTATATTTATTAAAATTTTAAAAATATGTTTTATGTGTTTTTTATTTAAATTAAGATTATTTTTATAATATTAAGATTAAATTTAATTTAAATAAATAATATTTTGCTTGCTTTTATTTATTTTAATATTTTTATTTATAATAAATAAATATTAAATGATTATAATCATTATAAATATATACATAAAGCTTTAAAAAATTTTATGTATAAATTTCATAGGTTTATACTATTAATAATTTTAAATTAAAAATATAAATTATTTTAAAAAACTTAGTTATTTTATATAAAATTGACTTTTAAACTATAACTCATATATATTTATGTTTATTTGAAAAATTTAAATATATAATTTAAATTTTTATCAGGTTTTTTTTATATATTTTTAAAAATACATCAAATTAAAAAATGAATGAAACAATTTTTTATAGATTTTTTTGTAAACTTTGATTTTTTAAAATACTAAAGAAAAAAAAATGTTATAAAGAAATTATATATAGATTATTTTTAATATTTTATTTTAATTAATTATTTATATTTATATAAAATACAAATGCTAAGAAATAAGGATGTAATCTATTTTTTTATAATTGAGTATTTTAAAAAATAATAAAGAAATAAATATAACGCAAAAAAAAAATAAAAAAATTATTTAAATATATATATTAAGTTTTATTATGTTTAACAAAAAAAAAAGATTATATTATTCGTTTTTGTAGAATATTTTATTAAAATGAAAATAAATAAATTAAATATAATATAAAATACAAATGTAAATAATGATAAAAATATATATATATAAATATAAATACAAATATTATATATTTTTATTTATTTATATTTAAAAATAATTTATTAAAACAATATTTTTTTCTATTAAAATTTACATTAGATTAAATTAAATATAATTTTTTTTTTTTAATTACTAAATTATTTTAAAAAATTTAAAATACTTTAATTTATTAATTGCTTTGATATTTTTATTATTTTATTATTATTATTATTTGTAATTTTTACTTATTAAAAATTTATAATTTCTTTTTCATTCATTAGCAATAAACAAATTATTTTTCTATACGTTTATCTTAATTATATATAAAGATGAGTTTAAATTTTACATTTTAATCATTATTTAGAAAAAAATAAAAAACATTTAAAGCATAAAGAATTTAAAAATAAAAAGATTATAGTTAATAAGTTTTTAAAGACTTCATAAATAAAACAAAATTACTAAATTATTGAATAATTATAAACTAAAATAACATTATTTTAATAAATTGTATATATAATAATAATATAAATTATATTAGTATATTTTATTTCATTTCATTTAAATTATAATTTTTTTTATTATTTCTCAACGTTTAAAATCGAATATTATATTAGATTATTAATATGATTTTATATTTTATTTTATAAATATTATTTTTTATAAATATATTTTTTTAAAATATTATTATTTTAATTATTATTAAAACATTTATAATTGAAAAATTTATTGATTTAAATAAAAACTAAAATATTTAAAAACTTAGCGTATATAAAAATAAAAAAATTAAGTGAATGTAATAAATAAATAAAATAAAAAAAAATTAAAAAAATTATAAAATATAATTTCCTCATTATCATAATTAATTATTAACTTTTACTCTACATTAAGTTCTTAAAAGTAGTCTTTAAGAATCTCCGAATCCGCCCATTCCTTTATGTAAAGTTCTATAATTATCCCAAACAACTAAATCTCCTTCTTCCCATTAATGACAATAAATATTATAATATTTTTCGAACTTGTCATTATAAGGACTAGCATCTACAACATCTCCATTTTTAAGCTTAAGCTAATGAATAGTGGTTCCTATGAAGTGAATTTTCCTCTTAGAAATAGGATGATCTTCGAAAATAGGGTGATATGCATCTGGGTATTAATTTTCTTCATTAGCATTAGTAAAGAAGGAACTTGTTTTACTACTACAAATAGCAAATCCACCTTCTAGTTCTTATTTAAGTTCTTCAGGAAGCTTATTATACGTATCTTCGCAATCCACAAATCCAGTTTATCCTCCTACATTGGTAATTACTTTAGCATTTAAAATGCTAATAATAAAATCTTATCCATGTTATTCAAAAGTACCATCTTTGTGCCATGATTCTGCATCTATGGCTTTAGGAACTGGTTTTCCATCATGTCCTATTGTACCAACTCTTATAATAGAAGGGTAACCGGGTTCTCTATATAGTTTTGCGTAATAATCAGGACGTTCAATTAGTTCACCAAATAATTAAGTGAATTTTACTTGCTCGTCTTTTTCAAGGAATTGCTTTTTGAAACATATCATTCCGTGTTCGAAAAGAGCGAATTTTATTCTTTTAATATCGGCAGGGCTTAGGTTTTTACAGTCTATATCATTTAATATATAGCCTAATTAGGTACCAGATTATTACATTTTTATTTTGTTTTTAGTTATTTTTGTAAAAATGTCGTTATTTTATTTAGTTAAATTTTTTAAATATATTTATTATTATTATATAATTTTTTTTTTTATATGTTATTATACATAAATATGTTATTTTAATAATCTGGGATTCTATATCCTTTTTTTATAAAATTAAATAATTCATTTTTTTTTTGTAGAAGATAAATATTAATAAAATTATTTTTTTAAATTTAAAGATAAATTAATAAATTATTAAGTTAAAATCAAAAATTTTTGTATTATATTATTTTTTTATAAAAACACTATATAAAATAATTCTATATAATTTTTTAATAAACAATATAAATTTTAAATATATATTAATATATATATATAAGGATATAATATTTAATTATATATATAATACAGAAATTTTAAAAAGAAAAATTATTATTTATTTTTTTTTAAAAAAGAATAATTTATAATATTTTTGTTATAATGAAAAAAAAAAAAAGGTAACTAATATATTATAAATAAATTAAAAAATATATATTGTATTATTATTTATTATAATGAAATTAATATAAATATAATTTTTTTTTATTATTATTTATAAAAAAATATATATTAATAAATAATCTATATAATATTAAATAAAATATATATTTTAAAACAATATACGTTTACTCCATATTATGAAAAAAAAAAAAAATATATATATTTTGTTATTTTTTTGATTTTTTGAATTTTTTAAAAAATTCTAATTAAAAATAAATATAAATATATATAAAATATTTAAAAATAATAATATATTTTATTATAAAAAATATAAAAATAAATTATTTATTTTGATTATTATTGTATTTGCAAATATTTTTTTTTAAATTAATTATATAAAATATTATAAATAAAAATGTTTTATTATATATTTTATATTGATTATATATTTTTTATTTTATAAATATTTTTTTTTTTTATACTTAAATTGATAATCTAATACTATTTTTTGCTTTTTTTTTCTATTATTTATATTTAAAATACTTTTTGAAAGATTTTATTAATTTTATTTTAGTTGCTACATTATTTTTGATTTTATTTTTCATAATTTTTTTTTAAAAAAAAATTAAATAATAAGTAATACATATATCAATTTTTTTAATAAAAAAAACATTTTTATAGTAAAAATTTTTTCTTATTTTTTTTTATAAATAATACGCTTGTTATAATATATTTTTAAAAAAATATTTTATTTTATAATAATATAAAATATATATAAATATATTAATTATATGAAATTTTTAATAAAGTTAAGCTTTTTTCTTTTTTTATGAATATATATTTATTAAATAATAAGTTAATTTTTCTATAGATTTAATTAATTTTATATTTATTATTAAATAATAATTTGGATTTTGAATAAATAACTATTTTTTTATAAATAAAATTAATTTTTTTTTTATTAAGCGTTTAAAGTGGTTAACCTATTTTTATAAAGATAATTATTAATTAGTATTTTTTAATAATATTACCAAGTTTCTTTAATTTATTTAAGAAAAAAATTTAAATAATTTTTTATTTTTCTTTAAAAAATAAATTGTATTTATTTTATTTTTACATAAATAATTTATATTAAAAAAAATTTACAAACTTCCTTTTAAATAAATAAATCTTAAATTTTATACAATTATTTTTCATATTTTCATTCATTTTTTTTATTCATATATTATTGACAAATAAACAAAAAATATTAGATTTATTATAAA